GTCTGTGAATTTACTCTGTTGGTGTCATAGCCCCTCTAGGAGTTCAGAGTTAAGAGGTCAAGAGTTAATGTTTCCATTGTAACACCTCCAGATTTGACATAGAAACACTCATTTTTAACACTCGATTTTAACTACTATCATTTTACACCTCAGAGTTACATTAAAAGAATGTGACTCTACTTTTGCAAGAAGACTATTAATACAAAAACATTTAACACTTTTGAATTTGCTGTGTGCTTTCAATCAGAGTTAATTAATAGAGTGAAGTAGTGTGACTTTACCGAAAAAAGAAACCCAGTCAAAATGTTTTTCACCTGTCAAAATACAATATCTCAGAAAAATATTGGTCAATCACTCTTTGAAAAATAAATAAAAATCTTTTTCACCACTAACACTAAGACATCAAATTCTTTCTACTTTCATCAAAACCTTGAGGACGGACTGTGTTCAGACACAATCATGAAATGTGGCTCTAAATAAATAAATAACTAGAACTGAAATTAAGAAAAGTAAAATGTGAGATATGATAAATGGTGATAAATGTTAAAACTACATGCATCAGACAACTGAACAAAGATAATACAGTACAGTAAAGTCATACAACAAATGTATTGGTGAATTTCTATTCATATAGTTCATACTTGTTTCTAATTAGCAAGTGTGAAAGAGAAGTCGACATTTAAAAAAAGAAAAGAAGAGGAAATTGCTCTGAGGAGTGAGATCTCGCTTAGCGTGTGGGTGGGTGTCTCTGTGTGCCCATGTCTGCAATTTATTTTGCATTTTAAAAAATGTTGATCATATCTGCTTCACACTTGCTTACATTTTTTTTACTGAACCTAGAGACTTTCTTTAATAATCAGATTTCACAGTTTAATCTATTTTGCACTGATATTTGAACAAGGCTGTAAACATGGGGAATGGCTTTCTTTTGAAACAAGCCTCAAACAGTCATTTGAGGAACATTTTTGCTGTTCACTAATGTGTCAGCGGGTGACTTCTTGTTAAAGTGCCAAACCACTGTGGTCACTGTTCTTTTTCTCCTTATAGTAGCTGATGTTTACTTATAATTTTTTAAACATGTTGAAAGGTCATCGTTGTCTTAAATCAGTATGATTATTTTATATGTGTGGTTTGTATAAACTATACATTTATTAACTTTTTCCACATCTCTATAACATTTCTTTCTCTGCTAACTTTTCAGAGGGGTACCAACAAGATGTGTTGAGCAAAAGGTCAAAGGTCACCACAGAGAGATTGGCCTTGCTGGTTGTCAGTGGTCTACTGGCTGCTGCAGTCATTGGTCTTTGTGTTACTGGTGAGTGGATGCGATGCTTTTTCTGATTACTAGTAAATACACATGGTGTATAATTTATAACTAGCCTTTATAATGTGGGTTTTTTCCAATTTTTCTTTTTACTTTTTAAGACCTGTTTTTGTAAAATTGTGAACATTTTGAAAGAATTCAAGAAGAAAATCTGTGTTTTATTTAAGTTTTAAAAAAAAATGACAGAATGATTTGTATTTTTCTTTTTTAATCAGTGTTTGACAACATAAGATTGAAGCAAATGTTCAAAAAACAAGATGATCTCCAAAACAGAAATGAAAGTGGAAACACAAATGTCTCAGGTAAACGTATGTGAATGTTCTCAGTGATCTAGGCCATTGTAGTCGAAGGAGCTTGGATGTAAGCATTAGAGACTCCAACGTTGCAACGTTGGATTAAACTTTTGGACTGCTGATTGACTCGCCCTCTATAGTGTACACATTGTTTATCCATTTTGATCAATATGTTGAATTAGAATGAAATCCGATGAAGCAATGACGGATCGTTTAGTCTGTTTTTCAAACACAGAAAGAGAACCATGCAGCACAGTAAAGCCTACATGTCCAGTATGTCCAACAGTAGAAAGTAAGTAAGTCTCTTGCTGTCTTCAAATCACACAAGTCAGAACATAAATGAAATTTATGCTAGAAAATATTTTATCCTTTTTCAAAATAGAAAGAAAACCATGCAGAACAGTACAGCCTACGTGTCCAAAAACTGACGTGAAAGGTAAAAAGGTTGGTCTTTAAACTATTTGTATACCTTGATGATTAAAGAAACTCTGATGGACTCACAGAAAGAGTAAGTTAGATTCAAACTGCAGGACAGAAGGAGCCTCCTGCTGCCTCCAAATCCCACAAACATGAATAGTGATTTCTTCCACCTGACTGAAGTCGTTGCTGTAATCTCTTCAAAGATCAAGCATGTTATAAATGTGAAGAAGGCTGGGAGCAACATGGAGGAAAGTGCTATTACTTCTCCATCAGTAAATCATCCTGGGAACAGAGCAGAGATGAGTGTAGAGCTAAAGGAGGAGAGCTGGTTAAGATAGACAGCAGGGAGGAGCAGGTATGAAACACTTTTCACGTTCTCACATGTTTTAGCACATCTTTATATTTCACCTTCTCATCACAGAAATTATAACAAGGTAATTTTAATTATCTTTTACTGATCAGACTTTCCTGGTCAGAAGACTGAGAGTTGTAATGACTGAAGCTGAGGACAAGTTCTGGATCGGACTGACAGACTCAGCAGTAGAGGGCAGATGCTTGTGGGTGGATGGATCACAACTAAATCAAAGGTTTGATTGTTGTGAAAATATATTTGTTAATTTCCTGTATTAAACTTTCACTGAATCAGTTCTGTCTGTTCTTCATATCTTAGTTTGACGTTTTGGAGGGTGAAGGAGCCAGACAATTGGAACGGGACACATGGAGAACATCCTGATGGAGAGGACTGTGTGAGGATGGGAGAAAAAAGTGAAGGTGGTAGTCTGGAGTGGTGGTTTGATGCATTTTGCTCAAAGCCTCACAGAAGTATTTGTAAGAAAGCAGGAGTAAGGGGAAAGTTTAAAAAGGTATGTGACTGAAATTCAGTTCAGTCTATTAAACACCAGGTTGGAATGATGCGGTTTATTTTTAAGTTGTTTCACAAACAGAATAAAATCAACATATTAAAATAAAATTTGAGTAATATTTTGCATCTGATATTTTTCCTTTTTGAACTGATTATTATATACAAGAAATGTGGGAGCACCTGCACAACTTGAAGGAATTATAACATCCCAAAACTTTTTAGATACCCCTGAAATAAGGAATGTTGTGTTAAAATGGAGCAAGTAATAGATGTCAGTGTGAATAAAGAGTAACTAAACATTACAGTGTTTGATATTTTAACAACTGATTAGTTTGACACCTCATTTGACTCTCATCAAGGTAGAGCTGAATGAGGAACTGAAATTACAATGTGTTATTTTAGCATCATTTTATCAGATAAACAGTGTGACACACTTAAGAGGCTACAGCTGCTTAAAAACTGCTTATAGGCTGTAACTGAGAAATATGAATATATGACTGTTAACACAGTTTTCTACACCTGTTTCTCCTCTGGGGTATTCTTGCTCTGGGTAAAGTATTTCTGATTATGAATAAAGTTAAATGTACACACCATAAACAGAATGCTGGACTGTGTTGTGCTGGGATTGATGCAAGCATTAGGATGTGTGGTTTCCACATTGTAATTCCACATTGTTGTGGAATTATGGAAAACGCAAAATGGTGCATGAAATGCAAACATTTCACATTTTCTTACTTCAAGAAGCTCAGAGTGAATAAACTGCAATTTAGAAGGGCTTTTAAATGGTTAAATATTTCGTGTATGTTGTAAGGAAATAATATTTAGATATTAAGTAAATACGTATTTTTATTTTTGTTACTTTCTTTCTCGGAGTCCTTTTTACAATTAATCTATAGTTAGGGCTATAATTTTGGACAACAACACTGTTTTTCTGTTTGTTTGTTTGTTTGTTTGTTTTTTGCCTCCATACACCGCCACAATGAACTGACGGGAAACATCTGCACCTGGTTTGGGAACAGCACCAAGCAGGACAGACGAGATCTGCAAAGAGTGGTGCGCTCAGCCGAACGCATCATTCAATCAGAGCTCCCTGACCTGCTGTCCATCTACACCAAGCGGTGCAAGGCCAAAGCTAGGAAGATTATGATGGACCTCTCCCATCCCAACAATGGACTCTTCTCACTGTTGAGGTCTGGGAAGCGCTTCCGCTCCCTTAAGGCCAAAACAGAGAGAATGAGGAGGAGCTTCTTCCCCCAGGCTATTCAGGCCCTGAACCAGGTGTAGAACTGGACACTCTCACACACATCACATCACCACACGCACTCTGGTTTTTCTTCATGCACACTTCCTATAATTTATAATCTCTTTCTGCTATTTGCACTTTTTTTTTTACTGTAAATTAAATCTAAATTTTGTATAACCTGTAAATTGTAAATACTGTAAAACCACTGTCATTTAGTGGTCAGGCATTGCATTGCACAGCTACAAGCATTTCACCTCATGTCATACTATGTATGGTTGTGTGTGTGACAAATAAAAAATTGAATTTATTAAGATGTGAGCAAAGAAAAACTCAAAAATCATAAATCCAAGTAACGGGTCCACAATGTGATTATTTTCCTGGTAATTGTTGTGGAAAATTTAACAATAACCTGCAACACATCCAGTGAGCTTGATTTGAAGTGGGTTTAATAAACACATTGCAATGTGTTTATTAAACCACACCAGGACCATCTCTGAATTGTGGCCACCGCCCTTACATCTTATATACGCAGACACAGACACTCTTAAACAAAGAACATTCCACAGCAGATCAACTATTAGCAGATCCTTAACTGTTCAGTCTAAGAAAAGCTCCGACCAACCATCACCTCATCTGCAACAGGATGTCCAGAGCCCTGAGTCTGCTGTGGAGGTGCAATAAAACTCGGGCCCCGCTTATGATCACATTCCACATGCATACAAACTGGTGACAGGAGTGCTCTTACTATACTAAAGTGATATGGTTGAAATATGTGATTAATACATGAGAAAAGAAATCTGCCACGACATTACTTTCTTGGTTGCCAGAACTGAATCTTCAGATGATTTCTTCTGCACATTGAAAAAACCAGAGGAAGAAATAAACTGAATATTCCTATGCACCCGTCTCTCCTCCTCTCCTTCTCTCTGGACATCCAATAACCATTGCTGACCTGATGTCCAGCCACATCTTATCATACCTCACTTTTTCTCGTCAAAACTGTGTTTGTCAGCCACTGTATACTCAATGTAATTTCTCTTATTAAGTCACACATTTGCTTAGTCATGCTCTTTTGTTGCAAGAAACTTTATTTCAATTGGTGAAACAGGCAGCAAGTACTGAAGTCTAGTAGAAAGAGTTTACAGGCTTTAAGACGTTTGATTTTTTGGTTAATGTGAGCATGATCAAAACCCTGAAAATGGATTTCAGATCTACTATAACAGTCTACATTGTTAAGCTGTGGTAAATGAAGGCTGCCTATGGACATCAGATGTCATACAAATCTCTGCATGCCTACTGATTGTTTTAACCAAGAGTATAAGTATAATGGAGAGTCCCGCCTTTGGTCAGGAAGCAGTCATGCTGATAGGTTCCCACCTTGAGCTGCCTTTGGCAGACTCCCAGCTGATCATCAAAGAGCAAGTCCAAGTCATAAACCTCGAGAGTCAGCATGTCATTTTCCTCAGCATAGAAGTAGGAGAATTCCTCGTTCCACCAGGGGTTCGGGTCATTGTAGCGAACAGATGTTTTACCCAGAGAAGTAGAACCACAGGACACCGTGACATAGGCATCTGTGGTTAACAGGATAACGGTGGGAAGATTGCTGGCTCGCAGATCATACACCTTGAGTTGGGCTTCGACCATGATTGAACTGCACATGAGCAGCAAAAGGACGAGGGGCACACTAGAGTCCATGGCTTTGCTGGAGGCTGTGGAGAAGGAAAAGTAGATTTACATTTTAGCCAGGATACCTGGATCGACACAGTCAGCCTTGTGAGGATCTATTTTATATTGGATGGAACACATTTATGCAATCCTCAGCATTGTCTACATATCCTCTGTGGATATTGCAGTGAACGGTGTTCCTGAGTCTGTACAGATTTTTTCACTACACAACTTAAATTGCTAAGCTCATCTGCTTAGCAATTTAATTAAAAACTTTTAAATACATTATTTTTTCATAGTATAATCTTCACGTGCTTTATCCGAAGCACACTTTCTGTGTACTCACTACCTAATTTGTAGCCAAAGTATTCACTCACTGTGTTTAGCTTAGCTTAGCTCGTAGCCGACTCGTTAACACCATGGCTACTTCACCTGTCCCTCCTGCACATTGTGTCAGATGTTTAGTTACTCCTCGACCTCCTTTAACAGTAATGATA